TTATTTATTTATTTATTTTTTTAAATAATAATTAAAAAGCTACCACTTCCCATGACGAGGAAGGTCTGAGACTAATATTATTCCTCTCAATGAGTCTTTGGTGTGTTACAAAATAAATGACATAAATACCCTGATTTAAGGTATTAAACCCACACTGCAACACAAAATATAATACAAAAATAAGATTTAATGAGGAAACTGCAAATTACTCAATGACAACACAAACTGAATATATGTCAAACTGGTATGTTGTATGACTTAACTGCATTTGCAGACGTAATCTTATGACTTGAAGTAAGACAAGCTTCAGTAAGCTAGTGAAGTCACTACGAACATTGTTCACAACAATTGTGTGACAGAAACTGCTATTTGCAAATGCATTCTGACTAGTGAACTCCTCAAAATGACATCAAACACCTTCAGCAAGAACAATCCTGCAAGGGAAGAAGAGTTACTTTTTATAATTATTTAATTAATATTGAAAATATAATTCATTATCCCAGAGTTAATTAGCATAACAGCTCAATGACAAAACTTGCTTTTAAAACTATTTGATTCCTCAGAAAGATGTATTTAAACGAAAGCACACCAACAAAACCAAAATTCAACAATGTGGTAAAACCCTACTCTACCTCACAAGTCCTTGGGATAAAATTATGTCTTGCAACATAGGCAACAATATTATTTTAGGGCAAGGGCAAGTATTGTCTATTGTGCTGGTCACACATTTTTTCCAGTTTTGTAATTTCATATAATTTGATGAAACAGGTCTAAATGTTTTGTCAAGAGTTTTCCGCCATTCTTGGGAATCACTCAGCAGAAGAAATACTTTACCTACCCGTTCTTCTCTGCTAGTTCACCATAAAGCATTGTTGTAGGTTCAAGTAGTTCTTTCTGCCTTTCTTCTTTAGTCTGACTCTGTTGCACTTTGCCCCGTACAATTTTTTCATTCTCCTTCAATCAAAGACAAAGGCATGGCAGTTGTTATCGTTGAATTGCATACCTATTGGCACATTTAATTCAGGAGCCCCTTCCTTGGGTGACTGACAACCGTTCCCATCTCCTCCCAACACTTATACTTTGATGGATCACTTGACTCTTTATCAGATGATGATAAGATAATGGTACATGTACATGTATCACTCAAAAGCCCCAGCACTGGTTAACAAGTTGCGAGCATCCTATTTAAATTACAGGTTACCATAGTAACAGTACATGCTAAACACACCCAGGGTGAGACTATCCCTGTAATATCCTCTGGGGCAGTCTAATGCAACATGTTTTTGTTACAAATTGGGTTTCCCTAGGGTAGATACCTTGGGATAGCAGCTGATTCCTCTGTAACAAGTGTCACATGACTCTTTATGCAAATTTGAATGAGTAAAGGCTAAGTTTGGATGGACTTGGCACAAATTTAACAAGTCAATATTTTCATTATCTTTCAAAATGACTAACAACACCCTCTGGTTGATTTATGTATAATCCAGTAGCAAATATACAAAATCAACGATGGCAAAAAAATTTCTTAGTACATTCTTGGCATTGTGAATACTTTCTTGGTTACTAAACAAATTCGCTAAGAACTTATAGGTGTTAAGCTTATGTCGTACACACCTCACTTTCTTTGTCTTCTCGCCAACGATAAATTTTACCCATAGTTACAGACAGGAAATTGGGAATCTCCTGTTGTGTCTGTATCCAGAAAACGTTGTCTGTTTTCACATGCAAAACATCCGCTAACCGCTTTCTGAAGTTGAAAACCTCAGCAGAGCGTATCCAGCTTGAACACAAAGGTTCTTTTTCTTGAAAAATCACACCGTACAAACGGTCTCTGGGAATCTTCCAACTCTCGAGAAAGTCCTCGACCGCAATATCTTTTTTCTTCTTCCACCCGTCTAATCGCAGAGATTGGTAATCCGTAACGTAAACTACGCCTTCGATGTCGTCTTCTTTCCAGTTGTATTTCTTGCCGAAGGCAACAATTTGAAGTCCTTTCATTGTTGAAGGCAGTTCTTCCATCACAGACGGAATCATACTCAACAGACTAATGGAAGGTCTAACAGCCAAAAGACTCGGTGAATTCACCACGGTATCCATCAATTGTTGGCACAGTTTCAAAGGTCCATCTCCTGATCCGAAAAACAGTAGATTTGGGTCAAAGTATTTGGGTAGATCGACATACCTTCTGCAAAGAAACAGATCGTCAATGCTAGTGCCACCACCGTCCGCGAAAAGACCTGCCCCAAGAGGAAAAAGTGGAGTCGACATCGCAGATCAAATACTGTGGTGAGCTTGGGAAAGACCTCTCAGTCTAGTTCTGCATTATAGAACATTCTCGAAATGGGTAATAGTTACGATCTAAACAATATTACGAACAGTACAGTATTGTTTACACATTTCCCTCCAAAGTTACACGCTCCAACTCCCTTTGGGTTGCGACGAGCGTAAACTGGACACTAACTTTCGATACCAGGTTTTCACGCGCGACTAGCGGGACTTTCTCAAGGAGAAAGGTAAGAGATTTTCATCGTTTCCTTTGCCATTTGTTTTTAATAATTAAACGTTTTATCTTCCACTGAAGAAAAAGGTGTGTCCGGTTTATCTATCTATGCAGCTGGGTGACTGTCGTGGAACCTAGACGCAGCAGTGTCGGACATGCAAAGAGCACATGATGGCTCTCGTTCGGCTGATATCAAGATTAAGGTGTCCAATGTTTACCTACAAGAATAATTTCGGTTAAGTTTAGAATGCAATATAGTGTTTGTGAGAAACTTCTGTATGTTGTCTATATCGTGGTTCAATTTTGTCCTTGGCACAATTTGGTATTTTGATTCCAGGACAAGTTTTTCTTGGGAAGCAAGTCTGGTCTGTGCTGGACAATGGGTCGACACAGTTCTGGAAAACATGAATCCTACTTACTGGAAATTCATCTCATCTAAACGGCCCTTTTTTTTTTCATCTCCCCTTCCAAAGAACAGACACGTCAGCTCACCTCTGTAGAATTTCGATGTTATAAATTACGTGTACAAGGCAAGGTAATAATTATATATTTTCGATCTAATTTTAATTGATATATCATTAACTCTTGTTTGCTTGATATTTTTAGGAAATGCTTTACCTTTTGAAGCACTTCTTGAGTCCCTTTAGGCTGAAAGATTTACCCTGGAAATCCAGCTGTAGCAAGATCATGTGGAAACAAATCCAACATGAAGTTTAAACTTTCGCCTCTATAATGACGGTATTTTCAAAACATGGAGACTCGACTCTGTCCTTCTTAAGATCCTTTGATCATCCTTGAAAGATCCTTACATCTTAGGATCCTTGACACCGGTGATTGAAGCCCTTAAAAGATCTTGAAAGGGTTTTCCCTTAGGGTAGGTCAATGCTATGTAAAACAAGGCTCGAAACGACAACAGACACAACAGTTAGTCAATGAGATGCAAATAAGTACAGAACTATGACAACGTGAAGATCTTGACAAAAATCCTTACATTCATCTTTGGAAGAATCCTTCAAAAATCCACAAGTATTTGAAGAGAACTTTACCATAAAAAAATCTGAGATCTTGCAAGATCGAGGATCTTTTCACGAACCAGTAGAATTAAATAATTTAATTGTATGTTCAAATTCCTGGAGGAGCCTGGAAGGACTGTGGGAGAGATCATTGTTAAGGTGACTTGGACGTTGTGCGAAATATATTTCCAAGCCACAACTAAAGAAAGATTTAGTGAATAACGGTAGAGAAGGTAGGGGTAGTCGGTTAATTTTGTGGTATATCAGTATAGATAGATAAGACCACTGCGCAATCAAGCGCGCAGTTCTAGTCCTGTAACATTTATCAACGTAAATTGAAAATATCGCCGTATATGAATGACCGAAAACCTCTCGTACCCGGCTTTTAAAGTTTGTACGTTGCAGATCAAATAAGCTTAGCACGTTAACCTTTTAAATTCATCTTTGAACACTATTAAGTAACAGTGGAAGATGAGCTACAGTCGGCACACTATCATGGACAGCCTGCAAAATATATCTCCAATATAGCACTGGATAAGGAGAGTGAATGCAGGAGACCACAGTCCTGTTGTTCAAAGTGCAGATAACGCTATCTGATGCCGGGGTAATTGTTGCCCAAAAAAATATACGCTGTTCTCCCTTTGAACAACTGGAGCCAGATGAATAACATGATTCGATAACTTTTTAACAGAGTTCCTTGAAGCATGTCACTTGCTATATTTTTATTATTTTTTAACGCCTGGTAAACCAAATACTGCCATATAATAGTCGGTCTCCGCAATCTTAAGGAGGATTCTGAAGCGGAAGTTGAATATTTCGCTGCAAGCACCTTAGCAAGACTTTTGAAAGAGAACGTTTTTAGTAGGGCAAATTAAAAGACCAGCTGCACTGACTATTGAAATAAGGTAGTCTGTATTACGAGGAATAAATTCACTCAATGTCAATTCGTTCTATTTTTTTTTACAGATTAGCTTGGAATTATCGACCCGCAGACGATTTANTTTTTAGTAGGGCAAATTAAAAGACCAGCTGCACTGACTATTGAAAGAAGGTAGTCTGTATTACGAGGAATAAATTCACTCAATGTCAATTCGTTCTATTTTTTTTGCAGATTAGCTTGGAATTATCGACCCGCAGACGATTAAAAACAATTTTGACGTGTCGCGTTTAACCATCTTCGTGTATGCCTGTAATGTTGAAAGTCAGTAGCCGTAATACAGACCATAAATTTGTCGTAATATGGACCGTCAAGATGTAACAATCGTGAATCTATTTAGCCAAGATGCTCTTTTTAGAAAATGACTCAAAAGAAAACCTGGTGTTCTTCTGTTTTGTCTTGCCAAGATTTAAATTTTTTTAATGTCTAGGAAAGTGCATGCATATAAACATGTATTTAATTTTGATGTGTGTTTTTACTGATAATCAGTCTGTTTACTATTCGTGTATGACGACACTAGCCATATAAGGTCGAGAGAACAGGCAAAATATAGCACGGTATTGCACTGAAAAATACCGGTTTGACGGGTTTAGAGCCACTGAGCAAATGAAAATTGATGTGGCGCGCGTAACGAGAGTTTGGACAATAAGTAATATCATATGGCCAGTGAATTTGGAACGAAATTTTCCAAAGGATGCTTATTCAATGAAGTCAGTTTTAATTTTAGTGTGCGTCAGATAATCCACGAGCTCACAAGAAATTTCTAACATGAGGGAAGGACCGTAGGGATTGCAAACATTCAAGTTCATGGAAAACCCAATTTGTGAGGAATTTCTACTATACCAGCCCACAAGTGCGGCCGGAAGGTGAAATTTTTTATTGGTCGTTCATTGTTAAAAACTTTGCTAACTGTTAGCGCCATCTTCTTCAACAGCGTCACAATCTAGGCGCTAAGAGAAACTTTATCGTTGCCAAAGCCTCTGAAACACTGCTTCTGAATCTTGCTGTCTCTGATTTTGGCGTTGACGTACTTGTCGAACCTTTCTACATTGATGTACCCATCAAGTTGTTCCAGCGAGGCAATTGATCTGGAGCTGTATGCTTCCCGTATCTGGTTATTTGTTGCTTATTTACCGCAGCTTCATTTTTTAAGCAATGACAGATTCCTTGCTGTGCACCTCCATATGAGATACCAGGAACTTATGACTCACAAGCGGGCTGTTGCTGTGATAATCTCAATATGGGTGTTCAGTGTATCTATTTCGCCGCTTTTTGTCCACGCGAATATTCCTAACGTGGTGATTGGCGTTATTTAGGTAGTTTGCCTCATAATCACAGCGACGCTTTATTTTAAGATTTATAAAGCTGTACGGCGCCACAGAAATTAAATTCAAG